TCAACTTCAAACAACCATAACTTTTTCATTAAGGCTCTATTTTGAATAAATTAATTATCATTAAAAAGCTATTGTAGTTACTTTCAAATGAGATATATTTTCTATCAAAATTATCTTTATTGTAATAATATGATTAAAAACATGATCATAGGTCAAAACTAATTTTCTAAAGATTCACATCTCAAAACTTAGATTTCAAATGTTCATAGCTGTTCCATCTTAACTACACTTGGAGCAAATACAATAGCTTTAAAAAGTTTATGGAGTAAGTTCTTAAATGATATACGCTTTATGTCAAAACATTTCAAAGTTTGTAGGATATAAATGACCAAAAATAAAGAACATGATTATAAAAAATTATATTTCATGTTTTCTTTTGCGAACTAAAATGCATGTTTGATTTGAAATAACTTGATCCAATATTGCATATCCTTGCCTCTGTTCATGTTAGTGCATGGACAAAGTTAATAGAGTTCTTAATCAACCACAGATAAAGCAAGCCATAAGGTTCTTGAAGTCTCTATTCCAAACCATTTGTGAATGAGCTTGACATAAATCATGATTGCTTGCAAATAAAGGGACCTAGAAAAGACCACTCGCTTCTATTTCAAATTACTACTAGAAGAGGAAAGAAGGATAGAGGTCCGATCACAAACAAGAGATGAATAAAGTGTATGACCATATATGGATGAAGGCAAGGATGAGGAGTATTCTTCACTGATGCGTAGAAGAGCTATGACATGGCTTGGTCGTGGGAAGATGTTGACTTGAGATGCTTGTCAACTACAATCAAGGTAGGGAGTTGGGTCCTAGGATCACCAGAGTTAAGGCACACCTTTAGGTTTAAAGAGATCTTAAAGAGTTACTTACAAATTACCCACTAATAAGATCCTCATATTGATAGCAAGACTTAAAACCCATGACCTTATGATTTATGGGTCAACTTTTTACTAGCTAGACCTTTTATAATAGTTTTATTTATGATTTGTTATAATGTGAGCATGAATTTAAGAGCCATTATGAGATGGTCACTACTAGGATTCATTAATGAGAAATGAATTACTTTACAATTGATGTGGGTTACATTTTTTTTAGTTGCCTACCAGGTATTCGGAGCTTTACCCTAACTAATCTAGATTCGACTTGCATCATGCACCTAGCTATGGTGGGTAAGTCTCCTGGTGGGGGTTTTTTGCTTACACAAGGCTCAAACTCAAGACCTTGTGTAAGCAAAATTGAGCCACTTAACATTTGAACCAACCCTATTAGTTGATGTGGGTTACATTGTTTGGTAGAGTGTTGATTGTGAAAGGGTTTTAAATATGGGCTTGTGGTTGAGAATGTATTTTTTAGGCTTTGATTATGCCCTAGGCCCACTTTCTATTGTGAGTTTGAAATGTTTGGATTATCAAACAAGTTTATAATACTTTTTACAGAAAATATAATCTTGCAAGTTAATCAATTTTTTTCTTAATTAGAGGGGCATGCACTAACAACCTAAAATTATAAACAAGATTGTATACATGACCTTCGACTTACAAAGAAACTTACACGTAACTAAGCTACAAGGCTAAAATTTAGGTGTTACAAAATCTCTACATAATAGATTATTTTTCATAACATTTATAAACTATTTAAAAATAACTTATTTTTTATGCGTGAACTGGACTCTTAATAGAAAATTAATAATTGGATAGAGAAAAATAAAATTTTAAAAAGGAAAAACATACCTTTTGATCCTTGTACTTTGTTCAAGTTTTGCTATAGATCCCTGCACTTTTTTTCAGTATTTTTGATCCATACACTTTCATGATTCAAAATATCAAAAAAAGTGCAAGAACTTATAGCAAAACATGAGTAAAGTACATAAACTAAAATATATGTTTTTCCTTTAAAAATATGGGGTAGAATTATATATAATACAAATTTTAATTTTATGAGAGATATGCGTAATTTTTTAAAATGAAAATATCTCTTTAATTAAGATAAAATAGAGGATCTTAATTAATTTATTTTAGTCTTATATTTCAATTTCTTGTTTTTGATTTAGAAGCAAAACAAAAAACATCTTTACAATTTTAAATTAAAAAACACAATTATATTGAATAATAATATAACAAGTATGGAAAAATTTCATATAGTTAATGTATGTACTTGTTTTCAATTAAATCAAGACATGTATTTGTATATATGCACCAGGTAATTAAGTAATTATTTTTCAATGTTATCAGAACTAGATCGAACTAGCTGGTCTGATCGATTAAAATGGTGACCGGTACTAAGTCTAGTCTAATTACCGTAAAAAACTAACCATCTTAAAAAATGCCCAAGAGCATGTTGAACTAGTCTCAAACTAGCTAGAATTGCCATAACCAGTTGTTTGACTAGTTGAACTAGTCCTATGTTTTGTAAAAAAATTGTTAAAATTTTAATACATAAATTACAATTTACACATATTTATAACTAATAAGCATTGATAAATGAAAAAAAATGAACAAAGAAAATGTAAGATTTATGTATAAAAGTGTATATATTTTAAAGCTATAAATTATATATTATGAAATAAGCACATATATTTTGGATTAAAATGATGAAATAGGAGTGGATATTTCCTTCCTTTATTATAATTTATATCATTTTTAAATTAACAATTCACTTTTATTATTATAATTATTTATTTTTATTTTAAGCATATATTATTTAAACTATATTAATTTATTAATGCTTGGTTAAACCACAGTTCATACCATCGAACTATGAACCAATACTTTATTCGGTTTAATAACCAATTTGATTTTCTTAAAATTGCTATTTTCCATTATTACTCCCAAAGAGTGATATATTTGCAAAAGCAATATATGAGATATAAAATAATTATTAACACACTGAAATTCATAATTATTTTGATTTGATTCGATAGAAATATATAAAATATATAAAGTTCAGTACTTAAATGTTACCTAATAAGTATTATATATATGCACCACATAATTAAATAACTATTTTCCAGTATTACTCCCAAAGAGTGATATTGCAAAAGCAATATGAATATATGATATCATTTCTTTTGGGTGAAAGCAATAAAATGACATTCTTTGCATGTTGAGGCTTTAATTCCATCAATTGCTTCAACTTTTTCCACAAGGATATATTCCATTCTCTTATCTTACCAATAAGATCGTTCAGTCTCATAAAGTCACGACTGCTTCATGAACACTGCCAATTATTAGCTCTCGCACTTGCCTTTTAGCTTTGGCTCATCTGATGAATTCCCAAATAAATGTGGGAAGAAGGATCCCTTATCTAATCAGGCAAGAATATATCACCCGTTTAAGTTTCTTTTGAAAGAAAAAGAAAAAGAAAAATAAAATAAATTTATTTGCTGTTTTTAGAATAAAAGGAGAAAGGGATGTTATGTAGGAGCATGAAACACGAGCTTCCTCACTCTTCTCATGCAAGTTTTTTCTTTCTTTCTTTCTTTCTTTGTTTTCGAGAGAGAATTATGTTTAAGGACTTTAAATTTGTGAAATTATTTTGTAAGATCAAGGACCTTTTTCAAATAGAATAATAATAATAATAATAATAATAATAATAATAATAATAATAATAATAATAATGACTAAAATGTATATGAGGCAAATAATTTACCTCGTTTTAAAAATCACACAATAAGTAATTTAATACTAAGAAAGAGAAAATGTAATTGTCTTTCCTGCAAAGAAGTACTTCCTCCGGTCCCAAGAATAGGAAATTCTTAATTACATTTATAAGAATTAAGAAAAATTGTTAAAAATAGATGCATCATTAAAATGGAAAATAAATTATCACTACTTTCCTAGTCTACACCTTCCAATTAAAATTAATCTAGCTTAATTATCTTTAGGTAATTACTGTTTGGATTTATGAATTTGAATTTGGATTTTAAATTAAGAACCTTATACTTAAAAATCTCTCTTTTAAAATCCATACATTTAAAATATTTTATTTGGAAAATGTAAAAATTTTCAAAGCTAATGAAGAATAGAGATGGGTTGATATTCGAAGGAAAAATAAAAAATTAAAATGATAAACTTACTTCTATTTTTTAATTGATAAGAGATGAAAACAAAAAATAAGAGAAAGATGAGAGCAGTATAGAGGCATGGATAGTAAAAATATGAAGAAAAAAAGAGAGGGTTGGAGTAATTAAAATTTAAAATAACTTAGCTTAGAAAGAATTTAAAATTATAAAAAAATTATAGTAAACTATAATTATAGTAAATTATAGTAAATTCAAATCCACACGCACAGCTAGATAGATAGATAGATAGATATGCATTAAAATGAGAAGTCCGATCCAAATCCAATCCAAATGCAACATTAATATATTTCTTATATAATATCTTTGCAGTACAATCAATAAGGGCAATTTACAAAAAGAAAAAAATTTAAAGTTATTGGCTTTTTACACAATGTCCTACATTTTGGATCAACATTTAATGGTAGAAAATATTTTATATTTTGGACGATAGGATGTATAATGGTCAACAAAATAATTTCATAAATTTAGAGTAGTTCCTATATGTAAATAACTTGTCATTTTGATTTAAGCATAATTCTTCCGAGTTTTAATTTCAGATATATATATATATATATAAAATAATTAACAAAATGAAGCGTTTGATTCAAGTCAATTTGACTGAGCCATAAGATTCTAACCCTCATAAGGAAGCATGTAACGCACACCAAGTGAATCTAACTTTGGAAAAAGAGAAAAAAGTGAGGGCGCAACTCTTAATTTCTTATAAAACATTATAACCACTTTAGTTAAAGTGCAAAAACCCAAAAAGAAACTAACAAAGAGTTAAATTCACTTCTGCATGCAGCTTCCATCCAATAATATAACTGCCAGCTTTACTTACCTTTACCCTTAAGGCTTCTAAATATGCACATACATACATACACATATATATATATATATATCATGCAGATCCCTTCCATAAATAACAAAAACCAAAAGACTACGCTGAGAAAGGCCTAACGAAACATGTCGTTTTCATCTTCTTCTTCTTCTTCTTCGATCTCACCGCTGTTAATTCTTCTGATATTATCAGCCATTCTCTGTGGTACTGCGTTTTCACAAAACGACGTCCAAAGAGAGGCTTTTTCTTGTAGCGATTATTTTCCGAATCTAAACTGCAAAGAAATGAACATCACAAATGGCAAGAGTCTTCGGACTCTTGACGCCGTGTTCGGGTGGAACGTCGTCCTGGACCGCCAAAACGGCACCAACGGCTCGACGTTCGGCCTCGATGTGATGTTCGGCGCCACCCTGGAGATGGGCCCGCCGGCGTGGATAGCTTGGGGCGTCAACCCGGAAAAACGACCGGAGATGATTGGAACCAAGGCCATCATCGGCATTATTCCGAAAACTGAAAACTCAGGGATGGAGGTAAGGTAACAAAGCAAGCGTGCAGTTCCTCTCTGCATGTTTAGACTTATTTTAATTAATTGATTTATGTTGAGACTTGGGAGCTAGCTAGTATTCAAATTTTAATTTTTTTTAGAATAAGTTATATATTTTTCTTCAACTTTATTAAAATTTCATACAACTATCCTATATATTAAAAAAAACAAATTAAGGTCTTCAATGTTAGTATGATTTAGCTAGCCATACTATGAGTTATTTTTATTCTTTAATTTCTTCATTGGGAGATTATTTTGGAAGGGAAAACTGTGATTTTACTCGTTTTAGATTCCATGAGAAGCATACGATTATTTAAAAAAAAATTAAGAAAGCTTGTTGGTATGAGTTTTAAAAATATAAAAAAAAAGTTTGTGTTGTTGGTTTCAAATTCAAAAGAAATTAAATCAAACAAATTTGCTCTTGTTTTCAGTTTAAATTAAAGTTATCATTTAAAACGGCCGGATGGTTAAAATTTGTATCTTGTATGCGTTCTTTACTGTGAGCACAAGTGTTAGATAACTCAATCATATAAATTAAGTGTAAATTAGTATGTTGACAAAAAAATAAGTAAATTAATTAAGATAGTTATTTATAAAAAGATATATTATTTTTCCTAAAATGCTCCTTATTTTAGTTATTGACATTAGGTATCCCTATTAATTACAGGCATTGATGTGTGCAACCAATTGACGTAATTTGTAAAGAACTAATAAATATAAGAGACAAAATAGATTAAAGCCTAAACCATAGATAAAAATAATTTTCTCAACTAGCTTTTACATGTAAAACCGGAAGGAATACTCTGTAAAGTATTTGAAGGGATTCAAACTAATATATATGGCTCAATGGTCTTAAACTAGTGGTCATGTATGTTAATTATACTTGGTTTTTCTCCAATGAGTTCCTTTACATAACGCTCTCATTGCAATTATGAACTGTTCAAATCAAATGATACATGTTAATTCATCATGCTTTTACTACAAACGAGGAAAAAAATGTGCAAAAGATCACCAAGTCGGTAAAATATTTGGAAACAAGGACTAATTATCTCGAAGTTAATTGGAGATTAAAAAAAATCTGCAATTAACTTTCAGGAGATCTACATGGATAATATTCTTAGTGATTGCATATATACAATGTACGTCTAATGATTGGTCCTTTATTTCTATCAAATATCTCATTCATTGGATTCTTTTACACAATTTTTTTAGGGTTAAATGGTAAATGTATCTCTATTAGGTTTAGTTTGAAATTCTAAACTCGTTTTTGATAAAATATTCTCCTTCAATATTTCAAAATGATGTAATATGACTCCTATAATTAATAAATATTAATAATTTTGACTATTACTTGATAAAAAATTACAAAAAATATCATAAAAAATTACAACAAAGAATCACAAAAACTTTCTTAGTCATTTGCTATAATTTTTGAGTCATTTTCTATGATTTTTGTGGTTCTTTTGTATCATTCTTGATATCATTTTCTATAATATTCTAATCAACTAAAAATCAAAGGTAACTTTTGTTAATGGAAGTAGTACTCCCACTTGTCTTATTTATAGAGTAAAGAGAAAAATTTTTTTTATCTTATTTATAAGTCACTTTATTAAAATTTTGTTATAAATTTATCCTTTTACTCTCCATTGAATGTTAAAACATATATATATATATATATTATTAAAATATATTCCCTCCATTCAAAAATGTAAGAAATTTTTTTAGCGTTTGCTTGTTCAAAAATATAAAATATTTTTAATCTTTTAAAATGTAATGATTATCTTTTTTTCAAAAGTGATCATATTGAATAAATAATTTTATATTTATTTTAATGTGAAACACCCTATTAAATAAGGATAAATTTAAAAATATAATATTAATTTGAAGACAAGTAATTACTTTTTAAAAAGTAAGATTCAATTAAAAATATTTACATTTCTTAACGAAAAAAATATATATTTAATAGAGGTAAAATTTAAAATTTTTTAAATTTTTAGATATAATTAATAAATTTTAAAATTTTAATTTTTTTATTTTTTATAAAATATATTAAAAGTAAGTTATAAACAAGATGAAAGAACTAGTTATCGAAGCTCAATCATCAACTTGCAATATAACAAAGCAATGAAAGCATCCATTGACACATATTATTGGGCATGTCTGAATATTTTGAAGGTGAGGACGTACGAGATTACGAAGGAGACGAGGATGGGATGCCACCTGGAAGAATCACCGCATCTTGCGGGAGTGCAAGTCAAGAATACGACAATATGGTACGATCAAGCGAAGGGCCTGTACATAGTCTCCGCAAGATTGGTGCTTAATGCTACCATGTACAACGTATCGAGGCTGGGCCACGTGTGGCAAATCGGGTACAAGTTGAGAAATGACGATAATAACCCTCAAAGCCATCCAACGACTCTTCGGAATGTTGATAGCACCGAGACCATTGACTTGATTCACAGCGTGAGCTATGGACAAAACAGGGCTCTCCTAAGAAAGGTATATTATATATATCACTACAAGATATTTATTCAAATAAAAAATTTTTAAAGGTTTTTAGTACTGAAACATGAAAAAAAAATACTGAATTTTTGAATTTTAGTTGTAAAGATATCTTAATTTAATATTAATTTTTTTAATGAGGTCCTTAATTATCATTTTTTCATTATTTTATTGAATGTTTTGTTTGTTAGTTAGCTCTTCTAAAAAAAGATATAAATTTTGAATATTATGATTTTCTCAAGGGAAAATTACAACCAGCTCTCAAATAGGAAAATTAATTATTTTCACAGTTTATTCACAAGTTAAATTTCAATATTTACATATCATATTTCAGTATTTACAAGTGGTTAGGTCTTAATTATAGGTAATTGATTTTCTGATATAGGACTTATATGTTATTCTTTCTCATCTTAAACTCTATTTTAAAAAACCTAAGGTATTTTTTGTGCTTTAAGTCATATTTTTCTTATATATATATATATATATATATATCTCACTACAAGCAATTTATTCAAATCAAAATTTTTTAAAGGATTTTAGTACTGAAATATGAAAAGAAGAGTAATGAATTTTTTATTTTAATTGTACAGATATCCTAATTTGACATTAATATTTTTAATGAGGTTCTTAATTATCATTTTCCCATTATTTTATTAAATGTTTTGCTTGTTAGTTAGCTCTCCTGAAAAAGATATAAATTTTGAATATTATGATTTTCTTAAGGGAAAATTACAACCAGCTCTCAAATAGGAAAATTAATTATTTTTTCAGTTTATTCACAAGTTAATTTTCAATATTTACATATCAAATTTCAGTATTTACAAATGGTTAGGACTTATAGGTAATTAATTTTCTGATATGGGACTTATATGTAAGTCTTTCTCATCCTAAGCTCTATTTTAAAAAACCTGAGGTATTTTTTGTGCTTTAAGTCATATTTTTCATACATTTTAATTATCTGGTTTTGTGTAATTTTTTTTTATCTCTTTCCCAAGTTTTTATAAATATATATTCCAAATGTTCACAACGATCTTCTTCCGAGATTTCATGCAATATGGGGCTGATTTAGTTAATTACACTGTCACAAGGGCTTAAAAAGTAACGGGGTGACATAATGATTTATAAAATCAATTTATTATTAAAATTATTACTCATGCTTCTTCAAACTATACATCCAAAACACTCGTCCCTTATAGAAAATTAATTTATAATTTTGCAGAGAATTAATGATAATTTGATTTTTCAAAATCCTTTAGTTAGTGTCATTAATAATTCATATATACATGTCCTTTAATATTGTTGCCCTTACTATTAATATTTATTCCACCTTTGATGCATTGAAATGAGTACTAACATATAGAGGTCAAAATCAAATTAACCATGCAAATTGGACTGCTTATATACATATAGAGAGAGGGGGGGCATATAATAATGTGTTATGTTATTTAGAAACATTATAATGGTGTGGAAAATAAGGAAAACATAATTTTTTGCCCTTATAATTTCATCAGGTTTTATTTTTAGTTCCTGTAGTTTTTTTCAATGTTGTCAGTTCCTATAGTTTTAGAAAGATTGGATGACATTTATTTTTCAAATCCCTATAATTTTCATTTTTTAATATTTTTATTAGTCTTTGTAGGGACTGAAAACACTGAAAAAAATTACAGGGATTAAAAGTAAAATTCAATAAAACTATAGAGATCAAAGATTATTATATTTTCCTTGAAAAATGTAATGTGACTGTATATATGAACAATTCACATTCTTATATTAATCTCCCCTTGATTCCTCGTTGAATGCATTATATTGGATCACTCCTGTACGTAGCTACATGAGATTCGAGTTGCTAATTAAATTAATTAGGCATATGTATAATGACTTTAATTTCATGAGTGAGGAGAAATCAAAGTTATTAACGATGAGTGGTTTTATTTGAAATGAAGGTAATTAACGTCGAGCATTGAATTTTCACACTTATATCCATCTTCCCTAGATTCTTTATTAATTCCCCCTTCGTCGTAGTTTATTTGGTCATTACCTAATGTGCATTTTTATCTTTAAAATTTTTCTCAACAAGCAATTTTATCCCTATACTCATAAATAGGACAATTTTATTTTTGAATTATTTTTTGAAGTAGAACAAAAAAAAAAAACTCTTCTACAAGGTGCCCAGCGCTTTAAAAAAAAAATAATTTAGAGATAAAATTGTTTCTCAAAAAAAATTTAAAGATAAAAATATACCTTAACTCTTGATCATTTATATATAAGACTAAGTTCATCAATGCAAGCTATTAACGGCAAGTGGTTTTAATGGGAATGAAGGTACATGGGGCTTTGAACATAGCAGGATGGGGAACTTTCCTGCCTATCGGAGTGATTGTAGCAAGGTACTTCAGAGTATATCCATTCCAGTGCAAGAAATGGTGGTTCTACTTACACATTGCCTGCCAATCTGCTGGTTACGTCATGGGTACTGCTGGATGGGCTATTGGACTCTGGCTTGGTCGAGCCTCCAGATATTATATCTTTCATACTCATCGCACCTTTGCTATCATTATCTTCACTTTCACCACTATCCAAGTATGATCTCTCTCTCTCTCTCTCTCTCTCTCTCTCAAATATAAATGTGCCGATGTAGATTAATTTAGTTCGTAAGGACTTGACTCATATATATATATATATATATATATAGACTCAAATCTTACAATTAATGTGAGTTATATATTTTGAAAATCGAATTAGTTATTGAATCTCTTGAGGGATTCATATCAGCTTAGGATACTGAAATTCTTTTAGCAAATAAGTGGGCTTTTTCTAGCAGATGTTTTGTTAGCATAGGCTTGGGTACGAATATATATTCTTTGGATTTTTTCTTTGAATAATAATTCTTTTAAATTTGTTTAAATTATATAATGGGTCAATAAATATCTTAGACTCTAAACTATTATGTGAATATCATCCTGAACTTCTAAAATGTGCAAAAACTCCTATCAACTTCTAAATTTCAAGTGTTTGAAATATTACTGTTAAGTTAGAGAAAATGGCCATTATTTTTGTATTTGTGGGGCCCAGTCGCATGTTAATATGACACTCAATAATTGACATTTTCTTCAACTTAATGGGGAGATTTTAGATGTACTTAGAATTTAGAAGTTGATGAAAGTTTTTATACACTTTAGGAGTTCAAAGTTTAGAATGATATTTGCACAATAATTTAAGATCTAGGATGTTCATAACTCTTATATAAACTAGCTAAATTCTATATCTCTCAAATATAAAGTTGGCGATATAAATTAATTAATTAGTTTATAAAGATTTGACTCATATATATATATATATATATATTCAAATCTTACAATTAACGAGAGCATCGATCGTGTTGGCGGATACCAGCTAATATTTTGAAAATTGAACTAGTTATATTGAATCTCTTGAGGCAGTAATTCATATTAGCTTAGGATACTAAATAGAAATGGATATAAGGGGCAAGGGAGGGTTCTTGCCCCCTCATACATTATTGAGTCTTAGGTGGAAATTTTTTTTTTCTTTGCAAAATAGTATAAAATAGATTTTGGCCCCTCATTTTTTTTATTTTCAGTTTAGTCCCCCAACCATAAAATTTTGGATCTGTCCCTGATACTGAATATTTCTTTTAGTAAATAAGTGGGGTTTTTTTAGCAGATGTTTTGTTAGCATAGGATACCAAATACAAATTCTCGTGGGTCCAAATACGTATTCTTTGGATTTTTTCTTCGAATAATAATTCTTTCAAATTTGTTTAAATTATATAAACTAGTTAAACTCTAGGCCTCATGTTTGTACGGAGTCTAAGTCAAGATATTTTGTTCATGGCTTATTAATGATGAGGTTTTCTACATATTTTATACTGATTATTGTTTTATTTACTTTTGAAAACTACTAGACCTCTAAAAATAAAATATAAATTATATTATTCGAACTTCTTATTAGTTTTATTAACATCACACATATAATATACCAACTTAGGTTTATGTAATGGCAGTAGCTTTAATTCATTATTATAAGGGTTATATGTAATTTGGATCCTAAATTATAGGTTTAGGGGCAATTTGAACCCTAAACTCTTATTTGGTATATTCTGAATCTTAAACGATCAAAATTAATGTAATTTCACCTCTACCGTTAAATTAAAACAAACACATATATTTTTTTGAAAAAAAATGAGGTCAATTTTCCTCAAAGGAGGGTAGGAGAGAATGAGAGATGAAGAGTGAAATTTGGTGAAAATTATACATTAGGTCCCATATTTTAAAAGTAATGAACATTTGCTTTAATTTAACGGTGGAGATGAAATTGCACTAACTTTAGTTATTTAAGGTTCAGAATGTACTAGATAAGAGTTTAGAGTTCAAATCACCCATAGACTTATAATTCAGAATTCAAATTACATATTAACCTTTAATATAAACAAGTGTTTTGTCATTTTTTTAAAAGGAAATTTTGCTTATACTTCGAAAATAGAGGAGGATATTGATGTAATTTCAATTTTCAATATATATATATATATATATATATTGTAATTTCAATTTAATCCGTCTTCTAAATTCACTTGAGTTGTTTGGTGTTGATCAATCAGATGTTGGCATTGCGATTGAAACCAACCGAGAAAGATGAGTATCGAAAATATTGGAATATGTACCATCATTTTTTGGGGTATGGACTTTTGGTGATCATAATCATGAACATATTCAAAGGAATTTCCATTCTGCAAGCTGGGAAGGGATGGAAATGGGCATACATTGGAATTCTTGCGCTTCTTGGGGCCATTATATTAGGTTTAGAGATTTTCACTTGGGGTAAGTTCTTGTATTACAAACATAAAGCGAAGAAGAGGGAACCAGAAAACCAACAAAAGGCAGAAGATGAGAACAAAAGATCTGAAGCAGGAGACAAATCCTAGCTGCAGCCATAAGAGAAATTAATAAACCACTTGTTTTGGTTTCTGCTCTCTATCATTTAAATATATAAACATTATATGAATGATTTTTTTGATGTATTGATTTAAATATACTTGATTGTTTGAATGTTGTACTTTTTTTTGTTTAATTATTGAAGAATAAGAACATGTTTTGTTTATTAATTTCTTCTTGGCCTATAGTAGGGAAAAAGATGGAATTTTTTTAATTTTACTTTTTTGGGTTAGGATGCAAAAATACTAAAAAAAATTATTCGGGAGCTTCTGATATCCTTAAGTCAATAATAGTATATTAATAACTATTAATGTTATAAAAGAGGCATGTGAACACTGTATTTTGTCCGAATAATTTTAAAACAATAATAATATATAAAATTGAAAAAAAATGAAATTTTAATAATAATATTTTAGCCTAGATAATCTTCTATAGCTAGGTTTTATTTATGTTTGTTAATTGAAACAATTAATTTGAAAATTTAAAAAATTAAAAAATATATTTTCTTTTGTTTTAAATTTTAAAAAGTAATAAAATCTAAGATTAAAAAAAGATCTTCTATTCTAGATAATCTTTTTTTTTAAAAAATCAAAGTTTAAAAATAATAGTTAAAATAGATCTAATAAATTTTTTAAGTTAATTAAAAAAAATTCATTTTAAATTTTAAAAGTGAATGAATCTAAATTTGAGATAAGATCCTTTATTCTAGATATTCCTCTTTTAAATTGAAAATATGACATAAAAAATAATAAACATAATTAGAAAGTAAAAAAAAGAGTTATAATTTAAAAACTATATATATAAGACTAAAAGGTTAAACCCTTCTGTTTGTTCACAACACCTGCTCCTAATATCACGATGAGAGCATAGCAGAAGGAAGGGAGAGGAGTGAAGCACACAAATAGCTTTCCACCTCATATGCAAGCTCTAATATACCCTTCCCTTGCTTCTACTTTCAAGATTAGACAAAGAAATTTGGCAAGAAGAGGAAAGATAAAAACTGACATTGAAGAAGGCAGGCATCGTAGGAGAGGAAATCCGATGCAATGTGATGAAGTAGAAGCCGAATCAGGTCAGAGGTTCACAGATTTAGGCGATCGAGGTATGATATTCATCTGTTATATAAAGGGGAGATGGTCTGAGCTATGGGGGAGGGAACAATCTAAGCTTTAAGAATGTAAGAGAGATTCAGAGAAATTTCTAAGAAAAGAGATGAAAAAAAAATAGAGGCTGGAGATGATCTGAGCTTTAAGAGGCTAAGAGAGAGGTTGAAAATCTGTGAGAGATATAGAGAGAGTCTAAATTTGAAGCAAGAGAGAATGATCAATGTAGAGAACAAGACTAAAGAAGTGGAAGAGGGAGGATTGATCGGACCAAGAGGTTGAAAGTGGAAGAGACATCCATCTTGGTAATATATTTGATATTAACTTCCATGATTTAAATTTGGGTTTTTGATTTCAAGTTTAACCTCTTGCACTACTTTGTAAAAAAATTGGTTAGTTTTGGAATGCACAAAATTGGTCTGTAGAGATGCTGCCAAATTGAAAAATAATCCTTTTGTGGTTCGGGAGATTTTTAGTCATGAATTTGATAGTTAGGAATTGGGTTATGGTATGTGTACTTATTTATTCATGTTTGAATAGAGATATGAATTAAAGGGCCAAAAATACTTCCTTTAATGTTTATCAAAATTGCTTGCAGTAGGTTGATTTCTTTAAGAAGGATATTGGATTCATACTACTCTATATGTTGATGGACTGTATGTGTTTATGGGTGTGTATAAGATACCAATTGCAAAAAAGATACAGGAAATTAGATGCCCTGAATTCTTGGATATATGTTGGTGAAATTTTCGATCATTTGTTACAGACTTAGGCATTCAAAGATGCTAATCTACTTGTTCTATAGTTTGGGTATCTAGGATATTCACCATTGAAGGTTTCTCAAGATATTTGATCATGTGGCTATATGATTTGGTTTGGGTCTTAATCTCTTGGGTGCTTATGAGTTATGGTGAGTTTTAGATGGTTGGGTGTCTCTTTGATCTTGCTATTTTTGACTGCCAAAATATGTAATTAGTATGATTGTTGATTATTATTCTCTATGTAGTTCAAGTGAGGTTGCTAAAATCAAACCTTCTTTCAAACTTTAAATATATTATGTGTTCTGGACGTATTAAAAAAAATCCCCAAGTTATAGTTCTCTTTGCTATACTAATTGGTTTGATTTTGTTGTGAGCATATTCTTGACATTTTTGTGTCTCAAGCTATGAAGTATTTCTTGTGATTATAAGTTAGATTTTAGATGCATTTTAGCATGAAAGAATGTGTGGACTAAGCCAATTTGTTGATGTTATTTTGCTGACTTCAATTTGGTGTTAATCATTTTTGGAGAAAAATTAGTACTATTAGGGAATTTTGCAATGGCTACTCACATCATTTATTGATTGTCTTCTTAACGGAAAAATGTTACTGCTTCATTTATTTACTTTTCTTCCTTTTGAATATCAATGAAGTATCAAGCCAAATATCTATGATCACATGGCCAAGTCAAAAGAAAAAAAAAAAGGTCTGCTCCTTGCTTATTGCTTCCATGAATTTTATGTTTAAATGAATGATCTTTGAACATGTGTACCCTTTTATGTCTGGATGGTAAACATAAATCTCAATCTTTAGATTTTGCCGTGTATGATTTTAAGAATCTCTGTAGGTATTTAAAATGATTTCATACCCTGTAAATCAATAAGATTTTACAACTATAAGGATCAAACTTATATATATATATATATATATATATATCAAATATGGGTTCCAACGACAGATTACCCAAATTAACTTTATATATATAATTTAAATCAATTAAAAACATTTAAATGGTATCATTTGTAACCTCCCTGAGGTTAACCATAATTAACTCCAAATCATAATAATCTGAGGTTTTAAAAGAAGAATTTCTCAAAATTATTTCATAAGAATTCCAATTTTCCAATTCAAATCCCAAACATAATTTAAGAACTCCAAATCAGAGTTTTGAAAACAAAACGGAAGCTTGGAAATCAATTAGGACCTAAAAATAATGAGTTTTAAAACTCAAAAACAAGTTCTGTGCAAAAATGACACGTGCGCCACAACTTATGGCTCGTGCATCGCAGTGTGTCTCCTCTGTGCCATGCACCGCGATGCATTGCACGAAATTTGATAGATCAATGCTATCATTTGACAGCACAGGGAGCGGACTTCTGACGTGTCCCAAATCTTCGTCCGACGTCTGATTGAGGTGGTTTCAGTGTCTATACAGAGCTTTCTCTTAGCTCTAGCTAATGACATAAGTTTCACATTCAAACTCATTTTTTATAAGAAGTTGGACACCAAAACCCATTTCTACCACATTTTCACAAAATCTCCCAAATAGGGTGTCTCAACTCAACCACACGTGCCAATAGCTTACACAAACCATCTGACTACACTCAATGAACTCTTGTGGACTTGTACAACACACCACACTCATTGAATAATGCTTATTTTACAAAATCACTACTCAACCTCAATTTTCACAGAACATAGAGGGGGAGGAAAAGTTGCACAAAATCAACCATTTCATTCATATTTCTCAAAAATACATATGTTCCTACTTGCACAAGTATTTTGGCACTATCCACGGGTTCACAAACAAAACTCATTAACCTAGGGCACAAAATACATTAGTTAAGTACAAAATCATGCAAGTAGTGCACCAATCATGATAATTGCTCCTAGTTGGCAAAGAAATTAACAAATACACACGTAAATAGCAAAAGAGAGGCATATAGAGGATTACTCCACCAATCCTAAGCCTCTATATGTTTTCCCCGACTTGGATCTGATAAGCTAAGTCCTAAAAATATTGATAATTGAGGGGTGAGTACAACCACTCAGTAACCAAGTTTTACTTAACCCTTACAGTTACATATTAATTGTAAATGTATGCAATTTGGCACATAAACACATATATCACATAGCATTAAGCCACAATTCACAAAACTAACAACCATATGACCGGACTTGCCACAAAACACCATATCATGATATTTTCAAAAATGTAACTTAAGGTCACAAAAATAATAACCATGCACTCTTAACACATGCCGGACCATAAAACTAACAACCATGTGGCCGGACTTATATGCATGATCATGTGCCAACCTTATATTTTTCTGTTACCTCCGACACGAAGCCGGTGGCTATCACGCGGCTACGTCCTTCACGGACTAACCTAGCCTTCCACTTGTGAGGAGCTACCGAGCCAGGGTTAACTCACTCACTTATGTAATTCGATTTCCCCCAATACTAACAACCATGGGGTGTCGTACCCCTAATCTAGCCTCCTCATGAATTGGTGGAGACTAGTTAGGTTTGAGTCCCTTATAGAATAAGTGAGACAGTCCCGAATCAACATGGGACAAGGGCTACCTCCTGATTCCAACGAACGGTGCCAAGGCTAGTTCTCGATTCCAACGATTACTGCCAATACCACATGGATTTTCAACCAATCTACTCCTCTCCCTAGGCGATTTCCCACTAATGATCATGCTATCCATATCTCACATATAATATGCATTTTAATAATCATTTCTCAACACATGAACTCACATAACACAAATACTCCGTAATTTAATACATAATTCATCACAATTCTCCACCTACAGTAATAAATCACAATTAATTTCATAAAACATCAAGGGTGGCAAAATCAAGGTTTTCTTTTCAAAACCATTTCACAAATCAACACTTGCCAATATGCATCATTAATTTGTTCCATAAATCACATTCACACACAATTAACATTTAACTATAAAAATTAAGTTTTCCTCGGTTACCTCAAACCTTTGAAAGGTCAAAGGTTTACCCCTCACTATATCAGCTTTCCCAAGCTTCAACGAGCTTAAATGGCGCCAAAACAAACTTCTCTACAACCATATCTTAAGGATATCATTATTATCTAGCTTTTAAAACTTTATCAACATAAACTCCACATACACTATTTTTATCAACTCATAATCAATACCCATTCTTACCCAATGGGCTTATTGGATTTCACAAATGCACATTATCATTAATAACACCTCAAATCATCATTAATGCACATTAACCTCTCCTAACTACCTCATAAATACTAATTTTTGGATATTAAA